TCGTAAGTTTAGTGATGGGTGAGAGTTAAAATGTAGTTGAGTTACCACAACGNCATTAAATATATATTTTATATAAAAAAATAGATTTTTTTAATATATCATAAAAAAAAAATAGATTTAAAAAAAAAAAAAAAGGGATTAGGCGGGATAATGCTCGCCTAGGCGCGCCTTTTAAATGGAAAACGCGTTTTTCCCGCATTTCCCGAATTCGACGCGGTTTGGACGATCGTCGCGCTTAGGCGGCGCTTTTTCACATTTTTTAGAACATGGCTTTTGTGTATTTCTGGTTCATTTTTCACAATAAATACATGCATGCTTCTTTTATTTGAACTTGGGACTAGTTATTGAAAAATGTTTGCTGCATCTCAGGTTTTAAATAATTTTAGGTGTCTAGCGAGAAATTAAAATTTTTTACAAGGAAATTTTCCAAAGGGAAAAATTCAAAATTCAGGTGTATGGTTAACACTAATTCAAAAGTCAGGTAGATAGTTTAACAATTCAAAATTCAGGTATTAATTAGTTAATTAATTAAAAATATTTATTAATTATGTCACAATTATACAATAAATGGTCACATATACATAATTATAGGTCACGGCTTATCTACGAGTAACATATTATCAAATTAACTGGTCACAAATCAAAAATTTATAGGTCAAAGATAATTTCGAGGTCATAAATCAAAATTTTTAAAGGTCATAGTTTATTTCATTGGTCATAAATAAAAAAATTAGAGGTCACAGATTATGAATCGATCACAAATTTTTAAATTTGTTGGTCATAATATATATTTCAGTCATAAGTTATCAAATTTGAAGGTCACAGTTTAATACTGATCATAGATAACCAAATAATTGGTCACATACACCAAAAATTAGGTCACATACCACCGCCCACACCACTTACGACCACACTCACCCTGCGACCGTCGCCAACACCACAAGACCATCACTACCGCACCAAATCCACCATCACCGTCACAATTTTTATATCACATGTTACAAATTAACCAATTATTGGTCACATGCATCCAACCCACCTCATCCCACCTCACCACCGCCACGACCACCACCATCGCCCGCAGCACCATGAACAAACCCACAACACCTTTCACAGCACCACCCCCACCACACCACTGCACCACCGTCGCTTTCCAAAATCCAACCCTCCCAAAACTACTACACGGTCCACTATACCACAGCCATCATCCCTCCAAAACTAATCAAGTCCACCACTGCTATCGCCACCACCGTCAACACCTCCACCTACACCACAACCTAAAATGCCTTACAATCTGTAACAAAAACATAACCACTACCACCACCTCTCGACAGCGACATCACTGCCATTACTAGAATGAATGCTATGGTTGTGCCCAGTAATTTTACAGAATGAATGTTGTGTTTTGTGCCCAGTAATTTTTCAGCGACGCTACTATAGCGGCGGTTATGCTCACCCACCAGATCTCGTTGAAGAGAGGGAGAGTGAGAGAAGAGATTTCGCACCCACCGCGCTGCATGGTACAGATTGCCTTGGTGCTGCTTACGTGGTGGCAAGGATTGAAGTGAAATTGGGTAGGTCTCCGGCGGCGTGTTCCAACGGCGACGTAGAAGAGGGAAAGGAATAGAGGGACAAGATAGATGGAAAGTGAGTGACTGTGAGAATAAAATGAAATGGCTAAAAGTCTGGAATTGAATTGGGGGTAGATATTTAATTATTATATTCATACTTGATTTTTGAATTCTAATATTCAAACACCTGGAATTATGTAATTTTCACTTAACAAAATGGGGGGCCAAGAGCCCGATTGGGAGTTTCGCCGTATTAATTATAAACGGTTTTTAAAGTAACGATTTGGAGTGTTTATGAATGGAATGATTTTGAGCGATTTTAGTAGCGACTTTAAATTTGTCAAACTTATGCAGTTTATTATACACCGATTCCGAAAGTTTTTTAAAAGAATAAAATTACATATATATCCCTTCGTAAAAAATTTTAAGTGAATTTTACGATTATAAGTATATTTTATACTTTTAAATAATTTT